GCTGGGCTCTGATTTTCGGGAATCTCACATCCAGGCCCTGCCCAGGGCTTAGGTAAGGTGCTTAGCCAGGGCTTGGAGCAGATACAGAGGGATTTGGGCTTTATCGTATGGGAATCGGGAGGTGAAACCTCTCTGAGCTCATTTGTGCTCTTGAACTGGTTCCCCCTCCTTGTGCAGCTCTTCCAAAGGGCTGGAGCACGTCCAGCTGGCTCTGGCAGCTCCTGACAAGGCACTGCCTGCCAGGGAATCCCTCCCCCTGCCCACCTGAGCCTGTTTGTGGTCTCCACAATCTTAACATCACCCCAAATCCTTGTGTTCCTGCCAGAAAAGCGGTGGAAAATATCTTCCCCCTTTCTAGGCAGGTAGGAAGAAAATTTCCCTTTGGTTTTGCTTTTGCTTTTCTCACCCCAAATCCTCACCCATCATCCATGGAGCTGCTGCCCAGTAGAGCATCCTGGGGCTGTGCTGTGCATGGTGAGCCCGTGCCCATTGTGGCCCTCATTAGCCACCATGGCTAATTGAGCAGCAGGCTGATCCTTTCCTTATTTAGCATCATCCCCTTGGCACAGCCCTGCTGCTTGTAGAAACACATGGAGCTGCAAGAGCAAAATCCAGAATCTGCACCACACCCACGGGGTAGGGAGGGGGAACAATGCCCTGAGTGGGACTGGCAGAAATTCCAAAACAAAAAGGACACAGAAAAGGAGAAAAAACGTGTTGATGAGTATAATAATAATAATAATAATGCACCATAACAATCACAGCAGGCTGTTTTATTATCCAGCAAACTGGGGAGGAACAGCCTGGTTTGGGCTCAGGACCATATCCCTCTCTCTCATCTTTGTGTTCCCTCAGTTCTGTTTTGGGAAATTGTCTTTGATGAGATGGAATAAATGCAGGAAAATAATGTTGCTGTTTGCCCCTCACTCTGAGAAATTGCTGAACGGACTCAAGTTTCATTTTCTTGCTGCTGTTGATTTTTGCATGTTCAGGAAATTTAATGAAAAATTAATGTATTTTGCTATCCCATGGCTCAGGAAATGCTGGGAGTAGACTGAGTCAGGACTATAATGTTAAGAAAACAACACTAATACAAGTTGTATTTCTTCACTCTATCATTTTCACACCCTAAAAACATAACACAGCCCAATTTCAGTTCCCTTACAGTATTTCCTATTTAATTGGACAATAAAGCTCCAATTCTAAGGAGATTATTAGGAAAACCTTTCTTTTTTTTTGTCTTTTAAGTAGAAAATATCTGTTATGAAGACACACACAGCAAAGGAGCCATTCTCTGAGACTCCCTGAGCCCAAAACGATGATACTGTGAGCTCAAAACTCACAGCTCCTTCACCTGCTCCCCTGCCAGAACCAGGCTTGTTGCACTTTTGTTCCTCTTGTGCCACCTTGAGGGAAAAAATCTCTTCTGCATGGGTAGAATGGAGTTTGCTGCTACCCAAAAATCCAAACACTTCGCTTTAGGGTTGGGGTTTTCCTGGGCTGCTCCTGGTTTTTAAAGCAAAGAACATCTTGTCCCATCAAGGTTGAGTAAAATCCATAGGTCTGCCCCCAGGTGTGTAATGGGAAAGGAAGAGGAATTTAATGGAAGCTTTTGGTTTCTTTTTGCCCAGTTTCCATTGCTTAAATTGGGAGTCTCACCTGGTGGGGGACTCAGGATGAGTGGAACAAGCCCCACCATCCACAGCTCTGTCTGGGAAACTCTCTAAAAATCTTTGTTTTACACAGCCTCTCTTGTTGCTCTTGCCATTTTGTCTGCATGGAAAAATAACAAGGAGAAAATAATGGGAAGAAATAGGATTTACCTCTGCAGACTCACCAGAAAAAGTTGGTTGGTTTTTTTTAAAATTTTGTTTGTTTGGTTGTTTTTTGTTGGTGGTTTTCTTTGTTTGTTTTGGGTTTGGTGTTTTTGGTTGATTATTTTCGTTTTGTTTGTTTGGTTGGTTTTGGTTTTGGTTTTTTTGTGCTGTCAGGGCAGAGCAGGAGCACTCCTGTCCCTTCGGAGGAGCAGGCAGAGCAGGATCCTGGGTGGGGCAGGTGGGTGGTGGAGGCTGGGAACGGCCCAACCCCTGTCCTGTGCCAGCAGTGGGCACAGCCCAGCTCTGCCCTTCACCTGGCTGGGTTTCTCCACCCTCTGAGGCTCCTGCAAAGCTGCCTGGGCAGTGCTGGTGCAGCCCAAAGCACCGGAGCTGGCAGCCCTAGCACGGCCCCCGTGCAAAGGGCCACTTCTCCTGGGGCATCACCGTGCAAATGCCAAAAACTGAGGGTCTGACCCAAAACAGGGGCCCCTCTGAAGGGGACAGAGGTGGTGGATGTGTTTTGGGGTCTATCACCTCCCTCCCAGTGGACAAAACGACTTTTGTCTCCCTACGCTTGTGTTATGTTCTCCCAACAACTAAAACTGAGACGTTTTCTCCATTTTTTCCCCCTAATCCAAAGCTGAAAGTACATCGAGAAGACACAACAGAAACTCAGCAGGGTTGAAAAATAGACTGGTCACTTTTTATTGAGCACCAAAGCAGAACCTGAACAGCACAAACCAGGGAGGGGCCTCCTGGGGCTGCCCAGATCCTCGGGGGTGTGGGAGCTGTGGGCAGTGCAGCACTCAGTGACTCACAGGAAGGTTTTCATAGCACCAAACACGCTGCAGAGTGGTCATGAAAATGTTAAAAACATCCTACAGCAGGCATTTCCTACTGTGCTGCATCAGGCTGCTGATGGAGCATCTGTTTCTGGAGAGCAGAGCAGCTGAGGACAGCTCACCTGCTCTGTGTTTTCATTTCAGTGTCTGAGTTTCACATTCCAGTGTTTCACTGCTGAAAACACAGCACTTTGTCAAGTCCCTTCTGTGGCTTTTGTTTCTGAGTTTGACAATTAATAACTTGAATTAACTTGGAAAAATCCCCCTGAGCATTATAGCACCACTATAGAAGGGTGATGGCTGTGAAACACCCAGTAAACAGAAATTCATCATCAAATTATTAATTTGTCAATTTTCTTTTTATTTTTAAATTTAATTCTTTTTGCAAGCAGAACATACCTGCACTGTCCCACCCAGGTGGTCAGGTATGTGCTTCAGCAGCTACAAAGAAAACAGACACTGAAGTGAATGGGTCCACTCAAATTAAGCAGATTTTGGGCTGCTTTGAGAGATTAGGCTGAGATTTGAAGTTTTAATCTTTCAAAGTTGTGAATGCACACCACCAGTTTTTCAACGAACTCCTCACAAGGTTTTAGGAATTTTTTAGTTTAAAATAGAACATTTTGGCATTTACCCTTTGGGGCCAGCAGTGATCACTGGAGGGCTTTGCTCATTTAATCAGAATTTGATTTTTTTTCCTGCAGGAAGTAATGCTGAACAAAATCAACCCATTTCACTGAGCAGCACTGAGGAGGGAGGCTGCAGTAGGATAAGTGACAAGTTTCTGGTCTGAACACAGATTGGAACTATAAAATATTGATTGGAGCCTGGACAACCTGGTCTAGTGGAAGGTGATGAGCTTCAAACTCCCTTCCAAAACCATTCCACAATTCTCTGCTTCTGTGGCTCCTGTGTCCAAGCAGGAATTAAGATCTCACTGCAGAAAGCTGCATAGGACAAAATTATAGAAACAGCTCTGCCCAAACTTGGTGCTGCATTTAATATCTTGCACTTTGAAAAAGAGTGAGTACAACAAATGGAGATATTTAGGAAAATGTGGAGCCCTTCAGCTGTTCCTTTGCTCTGTAAAGCACCCAGGAGTGTGTTTAGAATAGGAAACAGAAGAGCAGTTTGGCACCTTCCATCTCTGCAGCTGCAAATGTCATGTGCAAAGTATCAAGAGTTTTATGAGTGTCTTGGATTTGGCTGAAACCATTTAGTGAGTGGAAAAAAAAAATCGTGTATTTTGTGAGTGGAAGCAGGGGCTTGCATTTGTGAATTGGGTATTTATATGCAGTGCTACTACTGTGCAAATGAAAATGTTAATTTCATGCAGGCAGATGGGGACATGGACTAAACCATGGAGCAAAAGGGGCTTTTCTGCCAGACAGTTCTGGCTGGATTGTCACAATAAATGCAACTGTCCCTTTAGGACTGCCACAGGAAAGGAAAACAATGGAAAATGTGTTTTCCATTGTATAATGGTAAACAGCTAAAAGAAGCTGTGAGGCCCAAATACCAATATCCAGACTTTAAGGATTTAGGGAAATCAACACAAAGGTACAGGACTCCTGAGGAGCAGTGGCCCATCTGCCAGACAATCCTTTTCAGCACACAAATTTATCCTGGCTTTGATTTTCTAACACATTTAACACATTATCCAGACTTCAGGCCTCTTGCTGAGATTTTGCAGGTACAAACCCCCAGATTTTGTGAGTATTAACTGTGCTGGCTAAAAGCAGCACATTACAAAACCTGGCATGCATTTGTGTGTCAGCCTGGATATTGTAGGAAGGAATCTGTTCCATTATTAACTCTCAATCTGCAGCTCACCAGACTGAGAAGAGGAAAGTAACCTAAACTCATTTATAAAGCTGGTTTTGCTCCTAGCTTAAACTTCCTCAAATTCTTAAGACTTCAGGTTTAGCCATTTAAAGTGGGTGTCAAGCCTGGTTTTTATCTGGGTATAAATAGAAGAAACTTGCAGATTTCTTTGAATTTTAAGCTGATGAAGAGGCTTTTGTAAAGGGGTTGTTCTAGACAGGCAGGCACTGGATTTGATCCAGAGAACCTCTTTAGTCTCACCTATTTTAAAGCAGCTTAGAGATGATATTTAGGTAGAATTCTGACGTCACTGGGTTGTGTTCACAGGCCTGAAATCTGAATTGGTCACACAACAAGCACATGAAGGGCTGGCTCTGTGTCAGCAGCCTGATCATGGCACTGTGGCTTTCAGGGATCCCTTGGAGGTGTTTGCATTTCATTTGTAGAAGGGCAGCTGATAAGCAGTGTGGTTTCCTTCAGGGGATCACATTTCTCCCCTTCCTGGTGGGGTTAAAATCTGAACTCTTCCTGTTCCTTGGATAATGAATTTTTTGGTCAGTGGTGGGCAGGGATCAGGGGGTGCTGGAGATGTGGAGCTCTGGGACCAGAAAGCTGCTGGGTGAAAGCATTCCTTGACAGAGTGGTCCAGCTGGGTGAAAACCAAACAACAAAAGACAAAAAAAGAGGAAGAGCAATTAAAATATTTATCCTTCCTAGGATGTTTGCACAGAACTTGTCCTTAAGTAGCTGAGCAATCTTAACAGCCAGCCTGACGTAGGTACAGAACTCTTTGTTTTCACAACTCCCAGCTAAACCCAAGTTAATTTTAAAGTGAAGCTGAAAGTGTTGAGAAAACCATCTTGGGAGAGAACTTTTGGTGTAATAAATATTTTCATTCTTGCCTGATGCAAGGCTGATAAAACAGACAGAGCTTTTGCTGTTGGCTCTGGCCAGATCCATGTGCCTTTGCTCACATCAGTGGGTGCCACTGCCCAGCACAAGTGTTCACACACGTGAAATTATCCCACAAAAGCCCCCATGTGCTGAAGGATTTTCGAGACTGACCCTTTTTGCAGTCAGGCCAGAATAAACAGCTTTTAAATTTGTCTGGCAGGCCCAGTTACACCTGTGCTAGAAGAAGCCCCTAAACACAAAGTTTAAAATCTTAAGGAACACCAGTTATTTTTCATCCTAAAAATCACTCCATCCTCTAAATACCCACAAGGCAAAGGTTCTGCAAAGAAATCAGGTGTGTCTGGTGGGATGAGAGTGTTTCATGCACCTGCACAGGGTTTTAAGGTGCTGTCCTTACTCCAGCATTTTGCTCAGAGGAAATACCACCCTCAGACAATGTTTCTGTGAATAATTGCATTCTAAGCACCAGCTATTTCCACCCAGCTTTCCCTTTATTCACAGGGCACTTACCCAGGCACACCTTCAATTAGCCTAAATGCTTCTGCTGGTTTTTCACATAGCCAACCAAATTGTTGGAATTGCTCCCTGTAAAACAAACATCAGCAAAGTCAGGTTTTGGGGTTGGGCCCTGGCAAGTGGTTTCTTGAGGTTCCCTCAGCAGTGCAGGTTTATTGGTATCATTATTTAACAGATAGCTGGGCTGGCCCACACTGGAGGAGAGGAAAGGAAATCCTCTCCTGGTTTTATCAGCCAAAGTGGCCAAATTTGGAAATCTTCTGTCAAAGCTGCTGTCTAGTTATACCTGAGTGTCACTTCCAATCTGATCCAGATCCAAGAGGGAGGAACCAGGAGCTTTGGAACTGTGAGGAAAGATGTGGGAGATGCTCCTGCTTTCTCTGAGCCCCAGATTTGGGAGAGGGACCTGACACCTCTGAGGGAATTCACTGGGCTCCAGCCATCCCTTATCTCTTACCACAGTCCAAGACCCTGCTTTTGACAGAGCTCTGTGTTCAGCTGCAACACAAAGGAGTCCTGGGCCAAAAGCAAAGCTCCAAAAATATGCTTAAAAATAACAAAAAGATTATTGGACTGGGTGGTTCCCCTGGCAGAAAACTATTCAACTCATTCTGTCACAGCTGAAAATGCTGGTTCTCATAAGTCCACAGTCAGGATATTGTAGATCTTAAAATAAGATCTGACCAAAGCATAGAGAGTTGAAGATAAAGAATATTTTTTTTTTCTATGTACAAACCTTCATATCATAAGGAGCAAATTCCTTCTAAGCATTGCAAGAATGATAAAGCTTAATAATAATAATAGTAATAACAACAAACACTTCATGCCAGCAGCTTACCAAAATATTCCTTGTAATACTTATGCCTCAGGTTGTGTCCATCTGGAAAAGAAGGTTCATGGTGAGAACATACCCAGTCAGCCTTCATTTTTTGTGTTAAATTTTCACCTGCTGTGTACAGCACAGAGAAATTAGAGATAGGGAAATAATGGCCTCACAATGAGGGAAATAAAAGTCCTCTGTGGCTGAAGTAATTTGGGTTGCTATAAACCTCTTATAAACTGCTGAGATTACTGAGCTCTGTGGACACAACTCATTTGCCATAAGAGTGGGAATTGCCACTAGCATTTTATAACCTTTTCAATAGCTACAAGTCAAGGAATCAGAGGCTTTCCCAAATGAAATAAAATTTGGGTAACCTTTCAGACCATCTTTTAACATTTTACATAATTCAAGTTCCAGCTAGGTTGTTCTGTTTGCCATTTATGTAATTATTTAGGCCCTTAGAAATACTTCATGTCTAAGATCCCCACAGTTCTGCATTACATTGGTTACTATGAATGTTATTAAAGAAAAGGTTATAAAATACATGGTCCAAAAGCCTGAGAAAAAAACTCTTAATCTGTTTTGGAAGCAGCTCAGAGACCTGGTTTGATGCTTCTCCTGTTTTTTACAGTGACCAAATGGCAAAACTGATGTCTCATGTCTCTGCACTGAGGTGATTTGTAGCCCAGTGCCAATGTACATATCCTACCATTCAATGAATATCTAAACATGCTATGAGCTTTCCTGGAAAATATTTTGGCATGTATGAAATTCTTTTTTGGGCAAATGCGTCAGCAGAATGAAGGCAACAAAGTTTTAGATGCAGAAAGCGAAGTCAGAAGACAAAACTGGAATTTAAAACTCAAATTTCTCATTGAAGCATGCAGTAACTTATAAATATTTCTAATTTTTGTGCTGTGTAGTAACAGCACAGGCAGACACAGCCCCAGAGGACACTGGCATGAGTGTCCTGGTGTCCTGGTCCCTTCCTTTCTGCTTCTGCCCTGCAAACATCAGCATGCACGAGAAGTTTTTTCCATTCAAGAGAGAGGGGAAAGTGTGGGAAATGGATTTGCAGAGAATTCTCAAAGTCTGATAGAAAGCTCACACAGTGTGCATCTGTGTGAAAACCTTGAGACAAGAAATGCTGACTTAGAAATGCCATGGAATAGGACACACATTGCTGAGAGAGAAATGGAGCTAGAAACAAGTTTCAAAGCGTGGCCTTGCAAATAAGACTGGATACTTTGGAGAAACAGAACTGTGAAAGATGCATTGTAATGGGACCCACAAGGGGTAATTTTAGATTATTGGCTTTAAGGCATCTACAACACTGGTGTGGCTAAAGCTGATAGGCCAAGAAATACTTAAAGTGTATTGAAATTAAGAAATAGTTGGCTTCTGATTGTGATGGCACGAGTTATAAAATCTGCATTGTCCCACCTTTCACCTGAGATGGAAAATAGAATCAAAGTTTTTCAAAGACCTTTCAGCTGCCCCATCTGTGAGTCAGAAAAGGGCCTCATCCCCCCAGGGAGGTTCCTGCCCGCACCCACCTGGGTTTCCCCGGAGCTTGATGCACTGGCCCCTGTTGGGGATGCCCTCGGCCGTGTTGCCCGGGTTGATGATGTGGCACTCGTAGCCCGTGGGGCAGTGCAGGGGCTCGTCCCCGTCCTCCGTGGTGCTGCAGGCCTCAGCTGCAAGAGAAACCTGTCATGCTGTGACACCCACAGGGACCCCAACGCGGCCACCAGCCCGCCTCAGGCTCCCTGCCATGGAGGCTGGCCCCTCCTGGCACAGCTCACCCCACCACTGGTGCTGCAGGGTTCTAGCTTGTATGTTTTTCAAGTATTTGTAATCCTGCAATTCTTTGGTGTGATGCCTTAAGTGTAGCTTCTGTATCTTTCAGATTATGTACTTCATTGGTGTGTGACTCTGAGCTTCATATAAAGTATTAGCAAGTTCTCCTCACAGCTCAGTCACACAAAACAATCCTTTTCCAGCCCCAGGACCAAGGACACCATTGCAGCTTCAGGCCCAAAAAGCATAAAAAACAGTGAACTGAGAAGAGCAAATTGGGAGGATGGGACTTCACAACTTGAAGCTGTAATTGGAAAATTAACCCCAATATGTAAATGGACCAAAACTTATTAAAATGTGAAAGCTTGTGACCTGGGGTCCATTTTGGGTGTGGCCATGGCCAGGCTCTTGTGCTGCCCAAGGTGTATCCTTTGAAGGCCTTTTAATAAATCCCTACTTTATTCCTTTAACTCTGTTCCAGGCCAGCCTCTTTAGGCACTAAGTGTGTAACTCTGAACTCCATGTACAGTGTGAGCTGCTGCTTTCCCATTTTGGGCAGACACAACAATTCCTCTCCAGGCCTGGCAGTCAAGGACACCTCACTGCCTCAGGCCCTGGGAGATGGAAACAAAAGTGAGTTGGGGGGAGCAAACTGGGGGTAAATGACTTCATAACCTGAAGCTGTAATTGGCAGATGAACCCCCAATATGGAAATGGACCAAACTTATAAAAGTGTGCAAACCTGTGACCCATCATCTATTTTGGGTGTAGCTCCTGGGGGGCTTTGTCTGCCCTAAATGTACCTGAAGGCCCTTCAATAAATATAAATAAACTGCTTTTTATCCTCTTGATTTTGTCTGACCTCTGTTTTTAGCTAGCCCAAAGAGACATCAGCAGTGCCCACCATGCAGGATGATCCCCCCATGGGGCTGTTCTCCCCAAGCAGGGACAAGTGTGTCCCACCAGGCAGGGACAAGTGTGTCCCACCAGGCAGGGTCGTGTCCCACCAGGCTCTAGGCTGGGTGAGGAGTTGGAAACACGAGCAGGAAGCTGGCAGTGTGCTGCTGTGCTCTGTGCTCCACACCCACAGACCTGCTGCTGAATCCAAACCTCAGGAGTGACTCACTGAGGGGTCAGGCAGTGCCACCCCTGTCCCAAAGAGAGGTTTCACCACTCTGACCTGGGACAGGCAGCAAGTGCAGCTCAGAATGAGAAGGCAAAGCAGGACCTGGGCAGTGTTTGTGGCCATTACATGTACAGACTCTGCAGGGCCACTCCTCCCTCTGACTTTTAATTTCAAGTACCTCTGCTGTAATTCTCATGCCATGACTGATGGTTCTTGCTTCCCTAATTACTCCCTCAAGCTGAGATGAAGGTGTTCAGATAAGAACAAATAATATAAGCATGACAAGGATGGATGAGGAGGAACCTATTTTATCTTGTTTCTAGCTGTGCAGCTCCAATGAGCTGGAGGCAGAATTTTCTCTTCAAGAACTTGGAGTTTCCATAATAGATGAGAGTTGAGGCTCAGCGAGTCTAAAACCATCTGTGTAAGACCAAAGAGGGGAATTTATTGGCACTACCTGGATCTGACTAAAGCTGATCAAAAGCTGGGTTAACTTTTCCATGAAAAGCCCAAAAACTTCAGGTGTCCATACATCTGGGAATGCCTCACAGAAGAAAACTTCTCTTCCCACCTCCCCACTCCCTCCTTATTTCAGTTTTAGGTATTGTAAAAAATTAATTAAAACCCTTTTCCTATGGAATGAACCTGAGAAGCTCAATCTCATTGTCAGTCTCCAAATTTAGATGCCCCAGTTGGCACAGCTCTGCAGCAGTTTGCCAGGGCTCCTGTCCAAGTCACCTTCAGATCCAAGAGCCACAGCCCCAGCCCAAGGCATCTGGGTGATGAGGCCACTCTGGATTAAAGGATCTCCCATTCCAAGTCCACCCACATTCTATCAGGAAGCTGGCAGAAAATGATGTGTATGATGACAAAGCCTTTTTCTAAAAGGAAGATATATCTCTAATTATTTGAAGAATGGGTACAAGCCCAGCACCCTGCAGCATTCCTAGTGCTTTGCTGGATAATCCATATCCATAAAAAGTATTTACTGCAGCAGAAAGCAGCTCCCAGCACCAGACAGAGTTATTCCTGTGGAAACTCCAGACAAATACCAGCAGCCCCAGCAGCCCAACATCCCAGGCAAGCTCTGTGTATGAGGGATTCATTCTCCAGGGCCTTTGTGGGATTATGGACATTGCAGAGAAGACAGAGAAATGTCCTGTACCTTGTAAGACTTCCTCTGGGCCATCCAAAAGCCACCCATTGCCTCCCAGCCAGCGGGGTTTGGGCTGAACCAGCCAGTCCAGGACTGCAGAACACAGAAATAAGAGACCACAGTGTCAAGACGTAGCAGCCACAGGGCACAGAGTTATGGAAAAGTCATGGATTTCCTCTAAGGGCCCGTGAGGAGGCTGCCTGATGGATTCATCTGATTTGGACTTATATTCATGTTTTTGTTGTCCCAGTGGAAAAGGAGACATGGATGTTGTCCAAGGCCACAAGAACCTGGTGTCCTAGAGGCTCAAAGAGCTGCTGCTTCCCATTCCCATTCCCATTCCCATTCCCATTCCCATTCCCATTCCCAGTCTCATTCTCATTCCCATTCCCATGGCAGAGGATGGTGAGCTGGCTGCCTCACTTCTGTCAGCACTAATTCAGGCCAGGATTGCCTCTTTTCCTGAATACAGAAACACAGAATGTGGGGTTTGGGTTGGAAAGGACCTTAAGGATCACCTCATTCCAATCCCTTGCCTTGGGCAGGGACACCTTTCACTATCCCAGCTTGCTCCAAGACTCATTCAACCTGTCCTTGGACACTTCCAGGGATGAGGCATGGAAAATACCATGCCAGGAAAACAACTGCCCTTGAGAGATTTCTACAATTTGTCAAAGTAGAAATTTTGCCACAGCATTTGCCTGTCCTTGGACATTTCCAGGGATGGGGCATGGAAAATGCCATCCCAGGAAAACAACTGGCCTTGAGTGACTTCTGCAATTCATCCAACTAGAAATTTTGCCACACCAGCTTGCCTTTGTGTGGCATCCCCACTTCCAGGGATGGGGCATGGAAAACGCCATGCCAGGAAAACAACTGGCCTTGAGTGACTTCTACAATTCATCCAAGTAGAAATTTTCCCACACCAGCTTTCCTTGGACACTTCTAGAGTTGGAGCATGGAAAAAGCTCCTACCATGCTGGGAAAACAACTGGCCTTGAGTGACTTCTACAATTCAACCAAGTGGAAATTTTCCCACACCAGCTTTCCTTGGACACTTCTAGAGTTGGAGCATGGAAAAAGCTCCTACCATGCTGGGAAAACAACTGGCCTTGAGTGACTTCTACAATTCAACCAAGCGGAAATTTTGCCTCATGAGCTTGCCTTGGACACTACCAGGGACGGAGCATGGAAAATGCCATCCTGGGAAAACAACTGCCTTTGAGTGACTTCTACAACTCATCCAAGTAGAAATTTTGCCACATCATCTTCCCTTGGACACCTCTTTCACTCATCAACCCCGCAGAAACCCCAAGTGCGAAACAGAACCCGCGCTCCAACCTCCCACCCCGCGCCAACGCACATGAAGACCACCCCCACCACCACCCCCATCCCCACAAGCCCCTCTCTCTCTGCCAGCTCCCCCGGGGCTCCCTGTACCTGGCGGGGGCTGCACGGACTCGAGGCAGGCGTAGATGCAGCCGTTGTAGCAGCAGCGCTTGTGGCGCTGGCACTCGGCGTCGGAGCGGCAGCTGGGCACCTCGCAGGCGTGCTCCGGCAGGCTCTGCGGCGGCGGCGGGCACCGGTCGCTCTTCTGCTGCTGCTGGGAGCTGTGAGAATGAAGAGGGTACTCATAATCCTTTGCAAAGAGAAGAAAAGGAAATCAGGTTGGCTGTAAGGTGAGTTACGGAACATGCTGCAGGAGGAAGCGGGAGGAGGTGTTGTAAAAGCAGGCTACCCCAGCAAGGGGAGAGAATGGCTGTTCCAGATTGCAGTGAAAGGTCATCTGCAGACGGAAATGGGACCAAAATAATACTGGCAAATAATGGCTACATGAAAAAAACACCAAACAATTACTGCAGTTGCTTCACAGATGATTCAGAACCCAAGAAGCCAAAACTGCAATGAACAGCTGGCTCCATGAATGAAATTTCCGTTGGGGAACAATATAACAGTTGTAGCCAAATAACTTTGGACCTCATGACCTCCCTGCCCATTTTCTCTGGTCACCTATTGCTCACAACTCATTGCTTTCAAAATAAGAATATTTTGCTTGTTTGGTTTAATAAACCCCCTTGTTTATGGGTGCATAAAAGAGGATTCCCTCATCCCCCAAAATAACCTGGTTAAGGACATCTCCAGGTTTGGGTTATAAGGTTTATAAGAGCTCTCCCAGCATTCACAGTTTGGCTCTGATTTATTATTTTTGCAGATTGTGACGACAATCAAAATTTCTTTAAAAACATTTTTCAGTGCAGGAGGTAAATTTCTGTTTCCCAGGGAGACTTATTAAATATTTTAATGACAATATCTGCCTTAGATAGCCAGAAACAAAGTAAGGGGAAAAGTTCAGAGTTCAGCTGAGGAACAAAGATGAGGAAGACCCTGGATGGAATCACTCAGTCTCAGCCATCATTTCAATGCAGTCTGCCTCCCAAAAATCCCAGATCTGTTCTGTTATTTGTGTCTGGAACTGGTCCCTGAGCTTGTGTCAAAGCACAGCTCTCTGCTCATTCATGTTCTGCATGGAGCCCCTCGAGGTGACACATGAGGTTTATTTCAGCCTCCCACCACCAGCTCTGGCCCTGGCAGGTGTTCCCAAACACGGGCCATAAAACAAACAAACAAACAAACAAACAAACAAACAATACACAGGATGAATTTTGAATCCTCCAATATTTCCATTAAAGACCTGGGAAATCACCCATCAATGATAATCAAAGTGGCAAACATCAGCCTGAAAGCAGCTTAATGTGAAGGACAAGACCAAAGCAATGGGAATAATTTTCTCCTGTTGTTAGCTCAGGATCTGCTGTTTGCAGCTGGAAGAACCCTGCAGAACTGGGGTGGGCTCCAAGAAGATGCACACCAATGAGGAAAAGGTTGGAAAGCAGGAAATGCAGAGAAAGGTTTTTGTGTGTGTGCAGGTTCCAAGGGGAGCTGAGGCTGCTCTGCTCACAGGTTACTCTGAGGATATGGGGGCCAGAACACAAAGAGGGTACCCCAGGGCTGATTTATGACAGCTGGCTGCTGCAGGGTAAGTAAATTGTTGGAAGAGCATTACAGCAGCTGGGAGGAATTCTTCATTTCTGGAAAACTTTAGAAGAAGGCTGGGATTTTTCTCAAACACTTGCTGTAGTTGTCAGTGGAATGAAATCCAGACTGGCCCAGATTTTCCCAACAGACATGATGGGTGTTTTATAATGAACTGAACCCACTCCCAGGTATCTCCCTCCCTCTGCCCCTTGGGAACAGTCCTTGCAGTGTGGGGGCTGCAGAACACCAGCTGCAAATCACTAAACTTGTCAAATGTCCCTTTGGAAAATACATGGATTTGTTTTAAAGCCCAGGTCCTGCATCCCACTGTGACTGCCAGGTTTTTCTCCTCACTGCAATCCCTCTTCCTCCCTTCTCCAGCCCCACTTGACCCCTGCTTGCCAACCAACAGCCTTCCTCACCCAGGGTGAATGAAACCCCCCTGGCCAGACCCCAGCCAGCTCCTCATCCTCACTCCTGCCTGCCATTCTGCACCCAGCATTTTTCTGGACACACTCCTCCTGCTGCTGCAGCCTCAGATTTTCTGGGCTCAGACCACACAGATCTGTGTCCTTTGGGCTCCCACAGGGGTGGGACAGGTCCCACAGGTCCTGTGGCCCATGTCCCACATGGCTGCACGCTGCCATGAGCACCTCCATCTGTCATCCCTCTGTCCAAATGACTCACAAATCAGCTGCTCTGCCCCCAGACTCTGATTTTTCCAACCACAGGGAACACACAGCATTTGGTAGGAAAGAAAACATCCCTGTGAGAAAGCAGAGGGGCTGCCAGAACTGCCTCCTGCTGCAGGAGAGGATGCAGAGCAGACGCTTTCCCCCTTGACAAGGCTTGGAGGAGGAGAAAGAAAAGCATTTTCTGTTTTCCCTGGATCAATGTTTCTGTCAATATGAGCAATTCTAGCTGAGCTTGCCAGATCAGTAGCACCTGGATTCAGGGCTGCCAGGAAAAACAGCACTTTGAAGAAGTGCAGGTTGAAAGAAGAGGTTATATCCCCAGGGGAGCTGGCTCCTTATCTGAAAATCAACATGTAAATTCCTCTTCTGCTCCTGTCCCATCTCTCTGGGTCATTCACCTCATAGCTCCTATTAAATTTGAGCTTCACTTTGAAATATGGCAGAAGAACATCCAGATAAATGCACTTTGCAGTGAGTGATTTTGCAGGAAATGCAGATCTTTGTGTCACCATTTTCCAATTAAAGTGCAAACCAGAGGACACCCTAGCCCAGGAGAGGCTATAAGGAAGACTTTTTACAAAATCCTGAGGTGCCTTTCAAACATCAGCACAATGATTTCTGCACAATTTCAAGGAGACAGAATTTCAGTTTTCTCACTGGGGGCAAGGGATGTGTGTCACAATTCTGAGTCAGCAATTGCACAAACCAAATGTTGCCATGCACGAACATCACTCTAAAAGTCATGGGCATAAAAACATCCTTTTGGAATGAAAAGCTGCAGAAAACAGATGGAGGGATCTGCCTGTGACACTGAGGTGCTGTTTACACACATGCAGTGGTTGGAAGATGCAGTCAGACCTGAGCATAAGAAAATAAACTGGGGCTTGCACCCAAGCAGTTCATGGGGCAGAAACCTTGGCTCAGTGCTGGTTTCTGAGGGAACTTGAATGGACCAAGCAAAAATTTCAAACTTTTTTTTCTTTTTTAAACAGCAAGTCCCAAAACTCAAGCTATCAAATTATTTCCTTTTCTTTTTCAATTCCCAATTCCTCTTTGACCATCTCTGAGAGTCATTTGGCCCAGACACACCAGGGCAAGACCCAGCACCATCCCCTGCACTCGTTGCTGTCCCAGTTCCAGCTCCAGCGCTCCTGCTTAACCAGAGTGAAGGTCCCTAAAGGTTTCCCAGCAGTAACTGTGCTTTGGGCAGCTCTCCCCAGAGTGGGACTGGGGGTGGTGGCTGTGCCCAGTGCCCTGTGGAGCCTGCAGGCTGCCAGGAGCAGGCACAGATGGTGGCACCCAGGGTGTGCCAGGGCGTGGGCAGCAGCTCTGGGATGTGCCAGGCACAGCCTCAGGGATGGATTTCTGGGATCACCACCCTTTATAGGGCGATGGGCACGCTGCTCTGGCACCGTGGGGCTGAGCTCTCAGTGCTCCAGGGATTTACAGAGCCGTGGGCAATGCCCCCATCCCTCCCTCCAGCACACATTTACCCCAAAAGCCAGCATAGGAGCTGGGCAGGGAACCCTCCCTGCTCCAAGCAATAAATCCCATTATTGTTCCCCCACTAAATCTCTCCCCGGAGCCTCAGGGTTTGCATCCCCCTCCTCCCCGGTCCCTTTTCCTGTTGCCCCGGGGTTTTTCCAGGGAAAGCGGCGCCGGTGCCATCCCAAACCTCTCTCCCCGCTCCCCAAGCTTCCCCCTGCAGCAGCTAGGTGGCAAAAGTCCCGCACAGCCTGGGAAAACTTCACGGATGGCTGTGATACCGAGCCATCCCGCCGATCCCACACTCCTTTATCCCAAACCACGCCAGGATAACTCCCCTCTTCTCGGCCAGCATCCCCCGAGCCCCCCAGCCCCACTCACATCGTATTTCTCCGTCATTTTCAGCAGAGCGCGTTTCCACAGGCTCCTGGCACAGCCCGGCTCCGGCAGCACCAGCAGCACACACAGCGCTGCAGCCAGGAGCTTTTTACAGAAAAGATTTTTTTGCATCTCTGGAAGCAGCCTGGAACTCTTTTTTTTTTTTTTTTTTTTTCTTTTTTTTTTTTTTTCCCAGGGAGAGATGGAAGCAAGACCCCGGAGCTGTCGGGGTTTGCGAGGAGGGAGGAGAGGAGGGAGGGAAAGAGCGAGGGCTGAGCGCTCCAAGCTTTTCCCTGCGCAGCTTCTGGGAAGGCAAAGGGGAAGGAATTAAAAAAAAAAAAAAAGAAAAAAAAAAAAGAAAAAGCAAAAAAGGAGCCCAGAGGCAGGAGCCGGGAGCTGCTGTTGAACTTGTTTAAGTTAGATCAGGTTCTCGGCTCACATGTTCGCACAAAGCTCACGCTCTCCTTGAGTGATGGACGGGAAGATTACTTGGAAAGATTATTTTTAGACCTTTGTTCCCAACATCTGGCATCCTCCGAGAGCCCCATTCAGAGGCGAAGCGTGGGATCAGATGACAGCTGCCGCAGGGGGAAATGAAGGTCTCGGAGGGGTGGGCTCGGCAGATTTTTTTGCGAACAGTTCACCCAAACTTCCCAAGAGCCTGGTGGGCTCTCCCTTTGTGTGCTTCCTGCTGCCTTGACAAAGTGACAACTTCATCTGGAGCCCACTGGAAGGAAATGGTTTAATGACATGATAAACATCCAGGGGCTTTCATTAAACCGAGGTGACGTTGGTTTTCTGAAAATTATTTAGAAGGAGGGGAAAGACCATTAGGAAAAAATAAATTGGGGTGTGGAATAGGGAAGGAAGGTGGCTTGGAAATTACATGAGCACACAGAGAAAGCAAGGAAGGGGACGTGAGTCAGGCTGGGCCTGACAATGGGAGGCATGGAAGGAGTGGACGTGGGGTTTTGGACATCTCTGTGGACATCCAGGGCCTGCAGGATGGGAATGGTGCTGGAGTCAGGCTGAAAGTGCCCAGCATCCTGCCTGGGATGGACACAGAGGCAGGTGCAAAGGAGAGCTGTAAGAACAAGGCATTCATACACATTGGTGTGTATAAATGTGTTTATCTGTGTGTGTGTAACTTTAGAGACATCAGGTGGGCTGCTCAGGGCATGCTGAGCCAAATGTGGGGCTGTTTATTTTATAATTCCCCTTGAATTTCTCCTCCAGCAGCTTGTCCAGCTTCCACCTGAGTGAAGGAAGGAACAGAACCACAAAAGTTGTCAAGATGCAGACACTAAGCCCTGTTTGCCTTCAGTTTACCCCAGCTGCAGCCCTGCTGAGCAGAGAGGAGCCTTGCTGGATTTATTTTATATCCACTCTGAAATGGGTCTGCAGAGGAGTGTTATACCCTGTGGATACACAAAAAAAAATATCTTCCAATTATTCCTTATACCTGAAAGCTGTGGAAATTCACTTTGATCCATGCCCAAGTGTCAAGAGCTGCACACTGGTGGAAGCCAAAGGATTTCATCTTGAAGCTTGCCAGAATGTGATGATGGGAACCTGAAAAAAGAGCAAGGTGTGCCTTAAAAAGCTCAGCAGTTAAGGGAATATATTTGATTTATTTAGAGTTGAGGTTCCTGAAGGTTTTCTAGCAGTAACTGTGCTTTGGGCAGTTCTCTCTGTATCTCTACAGCTATTAAAATGTTCTTTGTAACAAAATCTGCTCACTTGATGCCTGGGAATTTTGCTGGGAAGTAAAACCAGGGATTACTCTTATGGGGAGAAAGGGAATGAAGAGTTAAAGTGGAAATAATCACCTCCCTCACAGCTGCATAGGTACAGGGTGGGGGATCCCAGTGGGACAGCACAAGTGCTGCGTCTCTGCATGGTCTGGGATTCCCTGTGCAGCTGGGAATCCAATCCAATCCAAAAACCCAAACCCTAACCCTAACCCTACCCAATGAGCCTGCCCTGCTGTGTTTCTGTAAACCCTGCTTGGTGCACAGAGTCATCCCCAGAGGTGCAGCTGGGTTTTGGGGGCTGGCAGCGTTTGAGGTGGCCCCATGGTAGAGCTCTTTCAGGCACAGAAGGGGACAGGGAGGGAGCATTTGGGCTGGAGAGCATTTTGTGCCACAGAGGTTTCACCCTGCACTGCCTGTGGAGAGGGCTGTTCTTGCAGGGAACACAGCTCCAGGCCCCTGTGACCTGCTTCAGGCCCCTGTCACCTGCTCCAGGCCCCTGTCACCTGCTCCACGTCCCTGTCCCCTGCTCCAGGCCCCTGTCACCTGCTCCAGGCCCCTGTCCCCTGCTCCACGTCCCTGTCACCTGCTCCACGTCCCTGTCACCTGCTCCAGGCCCCTGTAACCCTCTCCAGGCCCCTGTCACCTGCTCCAGGCCCTGTCACCTGCTCCAGGCCCCTGTCACCTGCTCCAGGCCCTGTAACCTGCTCCAGGTCCCTGTCCCCTGCTCCAGGCCCCCGTCACCTGCTTCAGGCCCTGTAACCTGCTCCAGGCTCTGTAACCTGCTCCAGGCCCCTGTCACCTGCTCCAGGCCCCTATGACCTGCTCCAGGCCCCTGTCACCTGCTCTGCCCCATTTCACCTGCTCCAGGCCCCTGTGACCTGCTCCAGGCCCCTGTCACCTGCTCCAGGCCCTGTCACCTGCTCCAGGCCCCTATGACCTGCTCCAGGCCCCTGTCACCTGCTCCAGGCCCTGTCACTTGCTCCAGGCTCTGTCACCTGCTCCAGGCCCCCGTCACCTGCTTCAGGCCCCTATGACCTGCTCCAGGCCCCTGTCACCTGCTCCAGGCCCCTATGACCTGCTCCAGGCCCCTGTCACTTGCTCCAGGCCCCTGTCACCTGCTCCAGGCCCCTATGACCTGCTCCAGGCCCCTGTCACCTGCTCCAGGCCCCTGTCACCTGCTCTGCCCCATTTCACCTGCTCCAGGCCCCTGTCACCTGCTCTGCCCCATTTTACTAGCTCTCCTCTGCCCCAGAGCTGCAGTCAGGCATTTAAAACAGAATTTATCCCAGTTTTCCTTCAAACAGGCCATTTTCCCCTGGCTTCTCTCTTCACCCCGTGGTAGCTGTGGGCAGCTCACAGGCCAGCCCATGGAAAGGTGACTCCCTAAGGACAAAAGTGTCACCTTGGGATGCTGGCAGAGCTCAGCACCTTCAGGTCACTGTCACCCCCACCCAGATCCCATCCAACACCATCTGAAAGCTGTGCTGCAAGTACTGAAAGGCTCCCTCAGACAGCTTCAGTATATCCAGAGAGGAATGCATCACAGCCCTGCCACCTCTCCCACCTCTGATTTGAATTTTCACTGCTCAGAGGGCTCTGTCTGACACCACAGGAGTCTCCAATTCCTTTCACAAACTCTGTTTCAACATTAACACCTGCACCTTGATCCAGCCCATGCAGGAGCTCCCACCCATGTCCTGGCTCCTCTGCTCTGAGGTGACAAATGCCATGGCTGCTTGCACAGAGTAAACAGGATTTTTCCTTGGAGTATTCCTACTTTATTTATGTCTTTGTGCTGATCTTTCTCTGCTCTGTGCTCTTGCTGAAACCCAAACCACTGTGCAACAACTGCTCACGATAAATCTCCCTAATTTAATTCCGTTTTTTGTTGTTTCATATACTTGCAATCTGCACTTGGAGCAACTAATTCCAAAGATTAATAGCTACTTCAGACACCATTTACTGGCCTTTATTTTTGCAGATACACAGCTTTGACATTTATCTGGGAAAAACAGGGTCTGTGCCTTGCAGTCCGTGGATTGTGCACTGAAGAAGTGAGAATTCTGCAGGACCAAAATTCAACAGCTGGTCATGGTCTTCACATCAAAATGAAAGTTGATGTTTATATGTTTCACTTTTGATGTTTTATATTTCACTTTTGGAACTGTAACTCATCCTGCACACAACTCTTGATTAATTCTTTCTGCCACCCATCTCCATTCCTCCAATGCTTCTATCTCCAGTCTCTGTTGGAAGCTGGGCAAGGGATTATACATATTTTTACAAGATTAAGAAAAACTTCCCTGCCAATACTGAAAAAAGAAATAAGAATAATAATAATAAAAAAAGAATATTTTCTTCCCCTTTTCTGGATATGCATCTTCTTGGCAGTCCCTGGCTGTGTTGTCATAGGACAAACAACTCCAGGACATCATTTATCCCATTTATATCCACATTATCCTCCCAACTGGAGCTCAGTGAAACCTAAAACATGAGAGACCTCAGTCCACTCACTTCTGGAGGCATTTTTCATCCACTACAGAGCAGTTCCTGCCCTACCAAGTTCAGTTTTGAATGGCCCATTTAAACAAAAAAGAACAGCCTTGACTTTCTGAAGAATTTCTTGTTTAACACTGGCAGGTTTATGTCTCCACTATTAGTGTAAAGCATTCTGAGCAGCTTGTGAAGAAATTCTAGGCATCAGGCACAAATCCTTACAAACACAACCACTGGCAATAATTAGAAATTTCAAATTTACTGGTAAGCAGGTGTCTGAGTTGTGGAATTCAAATGCCAGGTATTTGATGATGGATGGTGATTGAAAAGGAATTATCACAAGAAGGAAAAAAAAATAATTGCAGGAAGATGTACCTGAATGAAAGGATGGGCGTTTTATCAGCTTAGGGCAATAAAACAATTTTTAGAACTGGGATTCATGCTGCCTGATTGGGATGACTTAAATAATGGCTTTTAAAAATGTTCTCAGGGAGGTTATGAGTGAAAGTCAAGGGGCAGCCAAGGGAAAAGATGTTTTTCTAGCCAAGAACAAGGTAGGTCAGCCTAAGTCAAGACTTGCCTTTTCCCAGAGGAAAGATCTGACTTTTAAAGAGAGATCATATCAAAGAGAGAGTTTCCTGAGAGCACACCACTGCAGCAGCACCAGGTGACTCATTTCAGCTGGATATTATCCCAGCACCTTCATGCCAGGGGCTGCTGCAATTCCTTTTCCAGGGGCTGTTTCCTTGCCAGCTCTGCACAGCTTCTGCTGCCAGCAGCAAGGGGCAGTGGTTTTCTGGAGCTTATTAGAGATTTTTTATGTTACCTAACCCAGTGGGAAGGTTACAGCTGCTTTGTGTCCCCCCTAAAAAATACAGGGGGGGAGGGACTATATATGAGATAATAGTAATAGTAATAGTAATAGTAATAATAATAATAATAATAATAATAATAATAATAATAAAATAAATTATAATGGAATATATTATATATTATATAATATATTATATAATATATTAATATATAATATATTATATAATATATAATAATATATATTAGATAATGTATGTTATTGTATATTATTATTATTATTATTATATATATATATTTTATATATATGAGCTAATAATAATATATGAGCTAATTTAGATGATCTCACCCTTGCTAGTCTGGGCTGCCTCACGAATGGAGGCTCTGCCCCACTTCCCTTCACTCTTAGAAAAAAACCAGTAAATCCAGAGTGGTTTTGTTGTGAATATGAATATGTGAAATTGTGAATATG